AAAAGCGGTCATCTTTAAATTTTCCATAAAAGAACTGCTAACAAGCACACTAGGAACATCAGAGAAAAGAAAAATTCGAATCAAAATGAAACCATACAGACTCAATGGGTTATTCAAATGAATTAAAAGTTTAAAACTATGAACTATGTTCTAAAAAGTAGACATTTGGGCAAGTTACGAATGTTCAGGGTTTAAGGGACGCAAAGAAAAGGTAGGACAAGCAGGTAGGACAGGTATCCCCATGTAACCGATGGTCTTGCGCCAATTTCACACTGGTTTAGTTCACGAATGAAGGAGAACGTTCGCGTTCCAGGTATTTGCATGGGTAAGGAAGAAGGATGGTCGAGCACCGGATAGTCTTACCGGAAAAGACAAGGGAGACTGGAATGGCCATTTCTGGCTTATTAGCCGTTGTCAGCCAGTCTTACCCAGACCCAAGTGGCGCCCCACCCGAGCCTCGAACTCGTGATCTTTTTGATAAGAGTCACACGCCCTAAATATTGAGCCATGAGCTGATTGTCGAGGCCTATGGCAGAACGGGGCAGATGAGTTCCGTTAGCGGTCAGGTGAACTTTCATCGATAAGTTACCGTTAACGTTGGGCTTACGGCTAGGAGAAGGAAATAGATCAGTGCTGAAATTTAGCGTAAGCCCGTGTCATTTCGAAGAAAGTATGCGTTACGGTGTGGTGGTTTGAAACGTTGACTGATAAAAAAAAGATTTAGAAAGTGCAAAAGAGAAGAAGTCAGGAAGAACGGTCCAAGTGAACAAAGAGAAGAGCGAATGGTCAGATGAAGGGAAGAGCAGGCCAATAGGGAGGGAGGAGAGGACGCGAATGAATAGGTAGGGTTAGTTAGACATATAAGAACCTCCACTTTTGGGTGCTGTTCGAAGGTGCCGATCAATGAAATTGCAACTGGGGAAACCAACATTACAGTTTTAAACGTTTTCTGTATGAAAAACTATGCACAAAGCAAGAGGCACCATATATAGATGTCTTCTGCAGAGGAACTACCCCCATCCCGTTTAATGCAATAGGACCAAAGTCCCTTTTGATCCCTTTTATGATTCGGTTGCTAGCATACTGATTAGTGTAGTGTCCTCCAGCTAATATAAAATATGCATAAGAAGAATGTTAGGTTAGAGGGAATTCACCTTCACGTCTTCACGCCATTCATTCTTTCCATAATTTTTGGAGATTTCGGGCTGGAACGTTTGATAGCCGGCCATTGCTGCCGCTAACCGGGTTAGAGACTGTCTTCCTGAACCGCCTACGCCCACCAGGAGAGCGTGACCACCAGGCACTCTGAGAACACGGCAGATCCGAGACAGATGCTCTAGCACGTACCTAGCAACACAGAAGAGGTTTTTTACATTCAAATAAGTGTGCGGACAAGGAATAAGCGCAGGCAAGGCAGCACATCATCATTTTAGTCCAGAATTATTGTCTTGCTTGATTGTCGTCTGCATTAGAAATTTTTGTCAAATGGAAAGTCAAAGTGATGGGGGAGAGTTCATACGATGACCCATAACCCTCGGTTTAAGCTTCAACAGGTAGATTACATGGTGCAACAGGGTCAGATGACGTGTTTCTAGAAGACACAGCGAATTACGCTACTATCACCAGCTGCCACAGTTCAAAGGAGGTGTGGGAACCAACGACCACATTCCCACATATTTTAAGGGGGAGCACTGCCCAATAGGAGAGGACAAATTTGGTGCAGGGACTTACCGGAAAATGACCAGATTCATTTTTGTCTTGTGTGTAGCATTGTAATCGTTTAAGCATTGCTCTACGATGGGATACATTAAGTTGTAGTCTTTGATCTCTTCATAAGCACGATCCTCCGGCAAAGCGTCCGGATCCATAAAGTCGCCGAACATGAGACTGTGAAGAGTCTCCTCGGTCACCTAAAATGAAAAAGCATTTAGGTGAATACGAAAGATGTGCAATAACAATGGGCTTATTAGAATAACCACCTAAAATATTTCTAAAGAAACAATAACGGCCCGCTGTCGCGCATACTAGGCGGCTGAGCTCAATAAAATGCTAAAAAAATAGGTCATGATATCGTTTTTTGATTTTCTATGGTAATGTAACCTCACTTCGTTTTCTTAGAAAGAACTGACGACTAAGTTATTTCAACAGTGATTTTGGAGGCCATAATATTTTCAATAGGATCCTTGTTTGAAATGGTGGTATCTAAATGCTTAACAATTCGTAAATTTTCGAAACAAAAACTGTGTTTCTGCATGCTCCTGGTTTTGCCAAACAATTGACGTGCATTTTCCCAAAAAACCAAATTTAAATTTTCTATTTTTAGAGGTATCATTTTGAAAAGTTTTATTATTTTGAGAAAAGAAATGCCAAGCCAGCCAAACTGCTAGAACATCCGTAAATAGCGCAGCCTCCATATGTTCCAGCTAACGTCTCAAAGCTCGCTAGCTTGCAAAAGATCCACTTTCTTTTAACTCTGGAAGGATACTAGGACAAGTGAGCTTTTCGTCAGTATCTTCTACCAAATACTAGTAGACTTATATACATATACGACATAACAGAAAATATGAATATGACTCAAGAAAAGATTTTTATGTAGTAAGCTTGATACATGTGATGGAAAGGTACTCAGTGCGTAGCCACCGGGTTATAGTGCGTTAATTGGCTTGAAATTGTGTTGCACTTCTGCGAATTTAGTTGTTTCATTTGTGGAGTCGTTTCTCTAAGAAAACACATGTATAACTGAGGAGAATTTTCCATAAGGAGGACTTGTATGGCTACCTGAATAGGACAAAGGAAAAAGAACCAACCGCTATACATGACTTGATGTCAATTCCAGGGTAATTATGTTTAGGATTAAGCTGAGAATAAGGGTTATTTTTAAGGTTGGGGTTAAGGTCAGAGTTGGGGTTAGCGCCAGGATTGTA